GTCCCCATGATGTCCCCACGTCCCCATGATGTTCCCTTGTCTCCATGTCCCCATAATGTCCCCGTGTTCCCATGATGTCCCCATGATGTTCCCATGTCCCCAGCTGCACCTGGAGCACCTGGAGTGCCTGGTGTCCCCATGATGTCCCCATGCTGTCCCCATGTCCCCATGCTGTCCCCATGTCCCCAGCTGCTCCTGGAGCACCTGGAGTGCCTGGTGTCCCGACGATGTCCCCATGATATCCACACGATGTCCCCGTGTCCCCATGTTGTTCCATTGTCTCCATGACCATGATGTCCCCATGGTGGCCTCAAGGCCCCGTGGCCCCCATCTCCCCCCATCTCCCCCCATATCCCCACGATGTCCCCAGCTGCTCCTGGAGCACCTGGAGTGCCTGGTGTCCCCATGATGTCCACATGCTCTCCCCACGTTCCCACGCTCTCCCCCGGTCCCCTATGTCCCCACGATGTCCCCATGCTGTCCCCATGTCCCCAGCTGCTCCTGGAGCACCTGGAGTGCCTGGTGTCCCGATGTCCCCACGATGTCCCCATGCTGTCCCCATGTCCCCAGCTGCTCCTGGAGCACCTGGAGTGCCTGGTGTCCCGATGTCCCCACGATGTCCCCACGCTGTCCCCATGTCCCCAGCTGCTCCTGGAGCACCTGGAGTGCCTGGTGTCCCGACGATGTCCCCATGATATCCACACGATGTCCCCGTGTCCCCATGTTGTTCCCTTGTCTCCATGTCCCCATGCCCCCATGATGTCCCCACGATGTCCCCATCATGTCCCCATGCTGTCCCCATGTCCCCAGCTACTCCTGGAGCACCTGGAGTGCCTGGTGTCCCTATGTCCCCACGATGTCCCCACGCTGTCCCCATGTCCCCAGCTGCTCCTGGAGCACCTGGAGTGCCTGGTGTCCCCATGTCCCCACGATGTCCCCACGCTGTCCCCATGTCCCCAGCTGCTCCTGGAGCACCTGGAGTGCCTGGTGTCCCCATGTCCCCACGATGTCCCCACGCTGTCCCCATGTCCCCAGCTGCTCCTGGAGCACCTGGAGTGCCTGGTGTCCCCCTGCTGTCCCCATGTCCCCATGATGTCCCCATGCTGTCCCCATGTCCCCAGCTGCTCCTGGAGCACCTGGAGTGCCTGGTGTCCCTATGTCCCCACGATGTCCCCACGCTGTCCCCATGTCCCCAGCTGCTCCTGGAGCACCTGGAGTGCCTGGTGTCCCCCTGCGCGC